AGTAGTCTTGTGACATCAACTAAGAAAGATGCTAGATCTCACTTGTTATATACCTGAATGTACTTGGCAATGATTTACAATCTCATTTATATCTAAATGCTCTAGTTGTCCATTAATCACACTTATATATAAATAATTAGATGTATTAAATATAAAGGAGAAACGTAGATATGTTTAAAAGCCATTATCGTATTTTTCATATCAAAGGAAAAAGTTTATCAAGTGGGATGAAACTAATAGTTATGGACTGAGATTTTGTATCTCTTAGGCTTAGTTCACGCCCAAATTTTGCTGACTTGAAAACTTTACTATATAGTTGTATTAGCTTTGCCCTTGATCAATACAATTAACTGTATTTAGTAGTAAACTTTTGTCCTAAAGTTTATAAATCAGTTGTGTTGGTTAAAGTTTGTGGTATATAAAACTTGTACTATTGCTACAACTAGCCTGATAAGTGAACTACAGCATCACATTTGAAATTGGAAAAGTTTGAAGGTATGCTTATATTATCACTATGTAGCACTAAAGCAAAGGTAATCAAATATGAGTACTTTTTTCTCATATACATTACATAATGGTGATAGGGGTAAACAGGGACCTGAAATTGTTACAATAGAATTTGCTCTGAATGCCTAATTTTGTAAAAAAAAAATAATAAAAATAAAAAAATAAAAAATATATGATCTTACTATTTTAAATTGACATCCAAAGTGATTTTTGAGTTATTTGCTATTGTTAAAAAATTATAAAATGATGTTGACATTATATATGGTGCGGAAATAAGTTCTCCTTTAAAACATTACATACAGTTAAAAAAAATTTAAATGAAATTGACAAAAAAATAGTAATCAAACGAGTTTTATATTTTTTGACTTTGAAAATATGTTTTTAAAACAAAATTACCAAGCAAATTTTTTTGTTTTTTAAGTTTTAAAACTCTTTTAAAAACAAATTTTTTTTCTTCTTTTGTTCTGAAAAACAGTTTTTATAAACTATTCTACAAAACTGTTGTAAGAATAAAAAAACGAAAAACACAATCAATCAGACCCTTAGTCTCTTTTTTTTTTTTTCTATTCTCGTTTTTTTCAGTTTTAGTCTTGTCTATCGCTGTTAAAACAAATATAAGATAAAAAAGAAATAGAAGAGGGAGAAAGTAGTGTTATAAGTTTTGAGTATATTTTATCTTATATTTATTTTTATTTTCTTATTTTGGATTTAGATATATGTGGTCTTATATGTTTTCTTCTATTTCTTTTTGTCTTCAATCTATTTTATTCTTTTTTACTTAGACTATTTTTTTTTTAGTTTTAGTCTTTTCTGTTATTATTATAAGTTTCCAATATATTTCATCTTATCTTTTCTTTTTGTTCTAGATGAATTTTTTTATCTAGATATATTTGGATTTTTTTCTATTATTTTTTTCTTTTAATTCTTTATGTAATCATTAGAAGTTTATCACATATTCGGTCTTTTTTTTCATCAATTTATTTTCTTCTTCCATTAAAGATAAAATAGACAAATTAGTTAGATTTCTAACGAAATTAAGAATAGGTTTGGATGGGAAAAAAACCATATAAAGATAAGCTATTAAAAAACAGTGTAAGGGATAAATTAAATGATTCAAACAACAAAAATATAGAACTTTTTTTTGAACTTTCCCACTTTTTTATAAAATATATTCAATTTACCATAAGGACGGAATTAAGAGAGCATTTGGTAGAGAGATTTTGGAGAATTGATATTGAGAATTTTATGTTTGCTATAAGGATTGCGAAAATTTTATTGAAAAAATCAGATTTCTAGGATTCATTTTTATGCAGCAAAATGCCAACTTAAAATACCACCGGTTACTTCACGCCGCTTCCTCTGCTTGCCTGCTACGCCACTTCCTCTTTCTCTGCTAAATACATTATAGTATTATACCATTATTGCTGAGTTACATACACCGAGTGAACTCGCTCTTCACTTCTCCATAAACACACACACACACGCAAAAAAGCGTTGCATTCGCTTCCTCAACATTTCTTGTTGTTCAATGAGTTGCGTGTGTTCTTCTTAACTTGAGGAGGGTAAAAATCTGAACTTCTTCGTGTATAACGCTCTCAAATGTATCCTTTCACCTTGTAGTACTAAAAAAAAAAAAATTATCCTTTCACTATCATTTTCCTTTCTTTAGAATTATTATGGTTTGGGTATAACATACAATCAACAACTTATAATATGACAAATAACTCTCATAATTTAATTAAAGGGGTGTTTGGTCGGAGGGAAAAAAAATTCCCAAGAGAGTGGGATGGGAAAAATAATTTGGTCATTTTTGGTAGGAGGAATAGCAAAAAAATGATTGGAAATTTTTTTTTGTTGGGTTTCAGTTTTGCACATAATTTCTTAATCGAAGATTGTCATCGAAGGTATGGTAAAAAAAATTTCCCATACAGTGAGAAGGAGTACAACACAATTTTGTAAGACAATAATACACAATGGTGTGTACAAAACAGAAGTGTCGTGAACCATAACGTGAAGACTGAAACAGTTGTTTTGCTCTTTGTTACCGATGGTGTCATGGTTTTGTCAGTGAGCAAACATATTGCATAAATGATACAATATATTAGGAGAGGTATTGAGCTGACAGGACAGACAGTGCTGTAATATAAGCAATTATCTGCAGCAGTATACAAATGTCCAACCATGACAATGCATCTTGGAAGTTGCAAGCATTAGGGATATGCATGGGTCGAACCGAACTAATTTTTTTGAAAAAACAAATCGAATTGGTTTAAATGGTTCGGTTTGAAAATGGTTCGGTTCGGTTCAAAATTGGTTTGGTTCGGAAGTGGTTTGGTTCGGTTGAAAACGGTTCGGTTCGGTTCGGAATCGGTGCGGGTCGACCCTATTTTGAAAAGAAAAAAAAATTGAAATTTAAAAAATAAAGTTATAAAAATCAATTTGATTCGGTTCGAAAACGGTTCGGTTCATGAACAGATTCTTTAAAAATCGGTTCGGTTCATGAACTGGTTCTTAAAAACCAGTTATTTTAAGTACAGTTCAGTTTGGTTCATGGTTCGGTTCAATTTTTTAGTTATTTTGCACAACTCTAGCAAGCATACTTGCTGCTATAAATCCATACCTCAAACCTACTTGAACATGGCAAAAAATGATCTTTGTTGTTTCATATGAATATCTTTCACGTCATTTGGGAAAACATTGGAGAGACATGGAAAAGAGAAAGAGAGGTGAAGTATTACGTAGATAAAGAAACAAATATAGAGAGACATAAGGCAGAGGAAAAATAACGTTTTTATGACATACATTCAATTTTCAAAATGCGGGGTAGTTTGATAATTTTATTCATTTTTCCATCAATATTTTACATTCATCTAAACATAACATCAGTAAAATTCACACAACTTTCCAGTAAAAATTTTCTCTGCCAAACACATTTTTGTAACTTACCCAGAAAAAAAAATTCCATCATATTCTAGGAAATCTTTTTTTATTGGTAAAAAATATCTCTTCTACCACGATGAATAAAAAATTAGGCTTAAGGTTAGTTTTGTAAATTTAGTCCACATTCTCACTTCTCAGTAATATTTTATAATTAACTAAATATAGAATCAAAAAATTTAAAGAAATATTTTAGGAATATTCTTGCCTATAAAATAAAATTTTTGATAATATTTTCGCGAAATTCACTTTTCAATATATTTATGTGAATCGTAATTCCAAAAATATCTAACGTCCCATAAATAATGGCTTCAAACTTGAAAAACTTGGGGTCTTATAACTCGGAACAAGTTAGCTATTTCAAATTCAATTTTTTTTTTTTAAGAAAAAGAAAAAAAGCTAACTGCATGTTGCAAACCCATCGACAGAATATTCCCGCGCCAAACAAGAACATTATCTGACATGATCTTTACATTTTTTTTCTCGTGTCAGTTAAAATGGGATTTTAAAAAAATACAGAATATTTTTTAAAAACAATTGTTAAACAAAAAAAATATCTTTTATTTTTTTTTCCAAATTCAAACATAATATTACTTTGAGTTGCATTGCGACAGAAAAAATATTTTTTCATTAAATAAATTAAGTTATTTAGTAGTAAATAAATTATTATTTAATAAATGATATATGTTTATCCTTATTATTTTAATTTAGCTAATTTATAAGAACAAAATTCACAAAATTATTTTTCGTCCAAATATTGGAGAATCAGAAAACAAAACAAAAATGTACCAAAATAAATAAATAGAGAATATTGTTTCTCATGTTCCATGAGATCAATTATCTTCTATAACACATACAAAATAGATGAAATTTACTTTTTTTTTTTGTTGTTGTTGTAAATCTCATTTATTTTTTATGTGTGTTACATAAAATAATTTCTCATTTATAATATAAAAAATAATATTCTCAAATAATGGAAAGGATAATCCAAAAAAGTAACCACATCCAAGGCGCAATTAACGCTGCCAACTGCCAAGCAATTGATAGCTAACGTATAATTCTATTTCTTTTTTTATGTTGAATTTTCAAAAACTTAAGAAGGTTGTACTTTCTACTTTGTAACGCTCTGGTTAGTTCATTATGGACTTATTACGGTATCTTTGAAAACTGAAAGCGCCAAAGTGATTTTTAATAAAGCACATACAGTCAACCACAGGCGTTAAACTCCCGCAACGAAAACCCGATTACGTTGACTGTGAACAGTCAAAACCGGCATGTGATTTTAACGTTTTGTTTGTAACTGGATGGAATGTTGGATTGGATGGGGTCAGTTTTTTTTTTTTTTTTTTTCTTCAAGAAATAAGAATTACAGCATATATTTTTGAATTTAAAATGCCATCGTCGAAGGTCCTCTATTCCAAAAATAAATAAAATTAAAAATAAAAAGATGCTAATAATAGTGATGCCCCCACCACCTGACCAAATGAGTGCATGGCCCTCTCCAAGAAGGAAAATTTAGTAGTGGCATATTTAAATTGAAAAAACTGTAGAGAGAGTAAAAAAGAAACAAGAGAAAGATAAGATAAACCAATACCTCAACGCTTGTTTCGCCCACGAACCTGCCTTTCATTTCAGTGTTTCCAAACCAAAGGAAACTCCTGTGCGGTTTCTCTTCTTTGTCTTCACTGCTCTCTTTTTTCTTTATTTTATTAACAGGTAACAACGCTCGTGTTTGCAAAGAAAACAAACTGTTAAAAATTCTTTTGTTGTGACAATAATAGTCTAATTTTGTAGTAGAAAATGGAAGTTGCGGTGGCGAAAGCGTTGAAACCAAGCTTGCAGAAAGACGTTGTTCTCCCGCAAGCAAATTACGAGGAGATTTTGTGCGTGAACACAAACAACGTTGTTGTTGGTGAAGATTTCTCCGTGGACGACCTCCTTGACTTTTCCAACGGCGAATTTCAACATGGCTCTGTTGGAAAAGAAACCGATGACTACGAGGAAGAGGAAGACGAAGAAAAAGACAGCACCTCGGATTCCTCGCAGTCACAGGACCGGATAGAAGACGATAGCAACTCCAATTCCACCGGTTTTTCCGGCGTCGCCGGCGACTCTGACTCCATTTTTGCCGGCGGATTGGCAGTTCCGGTGAGTCTCTATGCTATGCATCAATATTTTTACTTTTATTTTATTTTATTTCATAAAATAAATAATTCAATTAATGACCCCTTTGGGTTTTTGTAGGCTGATGATGTGGCGGACCTGGAGTGGGTTTCTCACTTTGTGGACGATTCTCTCCCGGAGCTCTCGCTATTGTACCCTGTTCGTTCCGAACAAACAAGGGCTTGGGCCGAACCGGAACCTAGACCGGGCTCAGCCAAAACCCCTTCTCTTCCCTCTGCAATTACCAGCAAGCCCAGAACTACCAAGACTAGAAAACCCATCGGTCATGTCTGGTCATTTAAACCCGTGTTCTCGCCGGCGCCGCCTCTCGTGTTCGCCGGCTCTGTCCCGAACAAGGAGTTCTACGAACCGCTGACAAAGAAACAGAAGAAAAAGCCTGAGGCCCAAACCGGTGGGCCCCAGTTTCAGCGACGGTGCAGCCATTGCCATGTGCAAAAAACGCCACAGTGGAGGACCGGTCCACTGGGAGCCAAAACCCTTTGCAACGCTTGTGGGGTTCGATACAAGTCGGGTCGGCTTTTTCCAGAGTACAGACCGGCCTCTAGCCCGACGTTCTCCGGCGATATTCACTCGAACAGCCACCGTAAAGTGTTGGAGATAAGGCGGAGGAAGGAGATGACTGGACCGGAGTCCGGTTCGGACCACACTCAAATGATCCAGAGTAGCTGAATTTTTTTGAGTACTAGCACAGATTAGGTATAGGTAAACGAACCGGTAAGAACCGGTTCGTTTTTTTGTACCGTAGTTAGTGAATTAGGGATTTTAGTGCTAGTCAGCTAGGCAGGTAACGGACATTAGGAAGGCATTGATAGTTTGAATTTCATGCGCAGTTTGATTTATTTAATGAAGTATAGTTAAGTCGAGGTAAAGATATTTAAATATGTGGCCATCTTGGCCATATATACTCAAGTTGGGTTTGATATTTTATTTGCCTCTCTTTCACGACTCATTAACTTTTGATTGAATTATTCAACTTAGTTCAGCGGTGTCTGTGTTAGATTCTATGAGCGCATGTGTAAGAGAGAGAAAGAGAAAGGAAGGTGGGGCAAAGAGTGATTGAAGCATTAAAGTTGGGTGGCATTGATTTGAGACCACCGAAACTGTGCTAGTGCCAAATAGAGTGGACATGTGGGATGTGGTGGACTTTTATTATCTTTACTTTTGTGTTTTCGGCCCTTGTGACCCAAAACTTGTATTGAAATGGCCCGTAAAGAATCAATAAATCTTTGGTATTATTGATATATCTAAATTCAGTGTATTTTATCAATGAAAGTATTATACATCAAAAAAAAAAAAATTAGATAGAACAAAAAAAAGTTGACATGTAATATTTTTATTAATGTGATGCACTGAATTTTTGATACAGCAGTAGTACCAAAAATTTATTCGTAAATAACATGCTTTATAATTGCACAAAATTTGAAGGAACCTTTCTTCTAGAGGTGATAATATGGGTTAAATTCGATAGGTCAACCCGCTAAAATGAGATAGATTGGATTACATATCTTAACCCACCAACCCATCTCAACCCGCTCCGTCGAGTTATGGGTCAAAACGGGTTGGCGACGGGTCGGGTGGATTGGCCGATCAGGTCATTTTTTTTACTATTAAGTAATATTTTATTTGTTTTTAAGCTTTTGTAATATCCAAAAATTTTTATCTTAGCACTCCCTAGAAAAAATAGAGAAGAAAATCTTTATTTATGACAAATGTTATCTATATATGGAGATAAAAATAAATTCTTAAAGAATGTTTAATTGAATATTAGCATACATTTAGACTTGAGATTGGAAAAAAATTAAGAAAAGTGTGAAATAAAAATAATTAATATTATAAAATTAATAAAATATAATTTATTTTTTATTTTTAATTATTTAGGTGGGTTGACCCGCGAACCCACCACAAATGGGGTGGGTTGGGATTTTCTATCCACATTGAAGCGGCAGGTAAAGGAGGGCCGACCCGTTTTGTCACCCCTACTTTCTTTCTTTCTTTTCAGTAAAGAAGGAACCCCTTTAAATTGTAAGGGGAAAATATATGTTCTTTTAAAGAATATAAATTTATGTTTTTTTAAGAGAGATAGACATAAAAAGGTGAGTCCCACAGAAAAAATAAAGACAAAAATAAAATAAAAGTGTGAATATCATCTTTTTGTATTTATCTCTTTGTTAAGAGGACCTAAGTTTGTATTATTTAAAAAAACACATTTTTCCCCAATTTTAATTATTGAGTACTTTAGTTTTAAAATTTTTAAAAATATTTATGAATCGTTCAAATTTTGCATGTGTGCGTTTAAGATCAAGTTAATCATGTTTATCTAAAATTTAAAAAATGTACTAAGTTGATCCTCTAACTTTTTAAAAAGGAATCTCTTAATCTAATTTTTGTCAAGCAACAAACAATATAATGAAAAATATATTTTTCATATTACATGAGATAATATTGTCTCATATACAAAATGTTGGTGAAATTCACTTTTTATTTGTTTTTGTTTTTCTTATTAGATTATATCTATTTTTTATGTTGCATGAGATAAAATCATAATATGAGAAAAATATTCTCCATAAATAAATACGTGTCACGTAATAATTTTCGTTCCATAAATTACTTTTCAGTCGATGCTTTAACCTTTAAACATTAATTTATGCATAGGGGCCTGGTTTGATAGGTTTTGCTCCCGTTTAGGGTGAAGGGAGTAGCATAAATTAGAATGATTTATAGGATGTGGATGTTAAGGCAATAATTCTCAATCCATATTGAGCAAAAGATAATCATGTCACTCTCAGGTGATCAATCAAACGTATCGTAGCTCTTTGATGAAAAATAGATAGATGACTAAGATGCGGACTTTTGAAAGTTGGAAAAATAATTTGGACATTTTTAAAATTTCAAGATCAAATATACAGTACTCAGTTAAAAGAGTTAACATGAAAAATCACATGCAATATATTGATAAATAATTCGATAAAGATATCCTCATGTGTAGGTCCTATGAATACTTCTGTTCAAATTTTGATGAAAGATATCATTTTAGACTTAAATAGTTAAATGTACCTATTTAACAAGATGCACGTACATATTTGTATAGTTTAAAAATCACAATACACAACGACTAAAGTTGAAGAGATTTTTTGGATTTCCCCTTAATTATCTTATGGATCCGTGTGAAATATTGCTAGTGCAGTGAAAAATGTTGGGTATTGTTCATACTTCTTATTCAGACGTGAATTTTTGTTGACAAGATCAGCAAAAAGCCAATTAAAATCTTGTAGAGGTCTGATATTGTTGTGAACTTTTGACTTATTGTAATTTTCTTTTTTCTTAATAATTTGGACTTGAACTTATAAATAGTTGTTGTTAGGGTTTTTCTACATTCTATTTATATTTTACTATAAATCGATTGACTTATAATAAATGACGGTAATGTGAATATAATACTGACAAACTGAACGTATTCTACGTTGAATGAATAAGAATAAATTACTGCATCAATTTTCTTTTTTATTTTCGATTTATGTATTATGCGATTTTCAATTTCCAACTAAAAGTGCTTCCCAAATGCTGTAGGGAGTCTATGTTCATTTGGATCTAGTGTAACTAGTTGTTAGTGGACAATGACGATGGAAGCCGCATCCATTCAATGAACAAGGTGCCTCTCATGTAAGAGGCTACGAGGGCTGCTGTTCTAGAATCTCAGGTCTTATAAAACAATCTAAACGAAAAGCACCAATTCCATTGCACATCACCCTTGCACACCATTTTGGGATATGGTCATTTTTTAAAAAGTATGTGCACTGTGCTAAGTAAAACACCACCCTCATCATTAATTTCTATTTCCTCGGTTTTTTCATTATCGTAGCTCTTATGTAATAATTAATTACTAAATTGACCTTGATTATAAATTATTTCAAAAATTTAACCTCTTCAGAAAACATAACATCAATCTGTCCTTATTTGACCGTTGACCACCAAGCCTACTCGGATAATCTCCTCCCTACCTGAGTATATTTTGAAATTTTTTATCTACCCGGATAAGAAGGGATACCCGGATATATTTCTCAAATCTAGGAAAATGTTTGAATTATTTACTCAGGTAGAGAGGAGCTACCCGGGTAAATAATCCAGATTAAATAACAACAGAGATGGTGCTATGCCAACTGAAGAACAATTGATACTATAACAGCTTTTTCCCCTTCTTCTTGAATTCTTGTGTTTTGCGTCTTCTCGGTTAAACTTTAGCTCGACAGTGTTTGGGAGCGAAGAGATACTCTAGTGATTGAAGGTGAGGCCGTGAGGGTAGTATATATAGTGCGAGGTTGCAGATCAATCCGCAGTGACATTCGTGCCTTTACTTTTTTTTTTTTGGGTATATAGTAGATTTAAAAGTTATACTTTAGAATTTATTTAATTATTGATTTTTAAATTACTTTCAACTCATCATATGGTTAAAAGAATTTATTTTTTAAAGTATCATGTTTTTATTGTCCAACTCATTTTTAAAATTTAAAGAAAAATATAAAACTACAAATATATTTTATTAATTATTTAAGGATTTAAAGTTTTAATAATACTATTAAAAAGGATAAAATCTAACCTTATTTTTTAAATTCGTCCTAATATATTAAATTAAAGAATAATAATTTAAAAAAAAAAGTTAATTTCTTATTTTATTTTTTCTAAAAAATAACATATATTATTCTTAATATTTTAAATTTTGAATTTAAATATCCTTTCAATCTGGATATGCATATTCTTATTTTTAATTATAAACATCTTATCTCTTTTAAATTTTATTTTTTTAGAATATTAAAACAATTTATAAAAAAACCTTGCAATGCATTAGAACCATCATTGGCTATGCTATCGAGAATAAAATTAAAATATTACTGATTTCCTAAACTATCAATGTTTAAAACCATCAATAAGAGATAATGGCTAAAACGGAAGTCGTAAATAAATTCCACCATTTTCCCCATTGTACGTCTTGGGAATTGAGATAATCCTTTCTTGTGTTGCAACAACTACCTAGGGATCGGTAGCTGTATTTTTTCTTGGAGATTGTTCGTCTTTTGCTTGAGTCCCCCGTCTCCTCCCAAAAAACTCCAGTGTAAAAATCCAAAGAGCTTCTATTCTCTCGGTCATGGCCAGCAGAACATGAAGGGGACGTTGTACCTGGTGCGTATTTCCCTAAAATTGCTGTGAGCTTCTCTACCTACAAATGTTTTTGAGTTTTGTGGACACAAACCTCAGCTTTGAGTTTGACATTTTCAATTCAGAGTTGTTGTTCTTCAGTTGGCATGGCACCATCTCTGCTTGTTCTTCAATCTGGATTATTTACCCGGGTAGCCCCCTCCCTACTCGGGTAGATAAAAAATTTCAAAATATACCTGGGTAGGGAGGGGGCTACCCGGGTAGACTTGGTGATCAACAGTCAAACAGGGGCAGATTGGTGTTATGTTTTCTGAAAAGGTTAAATTTTTGAAATAGTTTATTAGCAAGGTCAATTTGGTAATTAATTATTACATAAGGGCTACAATGGTCAAAAAGCCTTATTTCCTCCCCACGTATTTTTTTTTTCACAAATAAAGTGTAATTTTCTTTTTTGATTTTGCATTTCTTTCTTTTAATGCACTACACAAAGCTCTTCTGGTGGACAATATAAGAATTGATATTATAATAGGGTTGAATAAGAGTAGGATAGGATATGAGTTTGACAAACTCATATCATATCTTGTCTTTGATTTGCATTATAGGTAAACAGTCTAATAAGATAATATTATCTTATCCGGTGTTTGAAGAGAACCATATAATATCATAATATGATTGATATAAATACACAAAAATATATTTTTCACTCAAATTTCATATTTTTTTAAAAAATTGATTTTTAATTATTTTGTTTACTTATTTACACATTGTTCTTATTTTAAATTATCAAAAAAGTTTAAATGTAATAATTTTAAATAAAAATAAATAAATACATAAATAATTTAAAATTATATCCTCACCACATAAATTTTTAAAAGTTTAGTTTTTAATTGATTATCAATATTGATGGTCTGCATCTAGAGACAATGGTTGGTGTTAGTGGCAGCAGGTGCGGTGGGTGACTGATTGAATTGATGGTGGTGGTTAATAGTGGCGATGGCGCCAATAATAGCCGGTGATTGATTGATGGCGGTGGTTAATAGCGACGATGGTGATGGTGGT